AAACATTCAGAGTGCTTCTGCTGGTGCATGCTTCGATTTGTGTATGCTTTTAGACAGGTCATAAAAAAACTTGACATATTTGCTTCTACTTCATAGTTCAACTTTCAGTTAATCTCAATTATTATGGCTTCAGGCGGGTTTTATTTGCTCTGGTTTTATTGTTTGTGCCCCTTTACTGTATTTTGCAGCTACTAATGTTAGCGAAAACTCCTTTTATTTGCTTGTTTGCTTTTCCTAGCATGTTTGCAGTTGGTTTTTCTAGTTGACTCAATACCATTACCGAGGGCGAAAAGTTTGTGAGCGACTCGAGAAAGCAGCGTTAATTAATAAACTTTTAATAAGCCAATAAATTATAGAAACCACTGTCCGCCGTCTAATTAATCCAGCTAAACAATTGTTAAAGCTGCACAGTGACCACGTATTTTGCTGAATCTGAAATTGAATTGCCATGTATCTAAGGATTCGCTAATAATCAAGAATCCTGTGCGCATTGTCCACGATTCCGTGTTCATTTGCTTAATAAATTTCAATTGAATGCTCAAGTCGATGGCAGTGGCGGGCTTAAACAAAGCTCGAACGGATTACAAAAGACACGTTCCGCCAGTCCGGGCAGTCGGACAGTGAAGTCTCGCTACAAATGCCACGCATTGATCTCGCAAGTGCGTCAAACGATAGTTTAAAGGCAGTCTTTAAGCTTCAGTCAGAAGCTGAAGTAGATTATTATGTGCAGGGACTGTGTGTGTATGTGTGAGAAAGAGAGAGAGAGAGAGAGTTAACATAAAGAGACATCAAGCTGACGGGCTACACATTTTTGAATGGTTGTTGAATGCTAGTTCATGGGTCCTTGGTCAAGGCTAAGAGTCTTTATTATACGGCTGCAATTGTACAAGTCATTCGAGTTATTTTTGGTCCTCTACTTGATTGTGGCTATATATATATATGTATATATATATATGTGTGTGTGTGTGTGCTTGTGACAAGCTGCAGCTAATCTTTAGCTGTCTGCTTGGCGATTTCGCCCTTTTGTTTCGCCCTCTTCTGTTGCTGCTGCTGCTGTCGTTGTTGTTCTTGTTGTTGTGGTTGTGTCGAGTACATGGAGGCCATAAAACAAACACTTTTAGTTTGTTGAACTGTGACCGAGGGCTGCGTTTAATTTGTTGTCAAAAATTGCTACCGAAATTTGATGCGGCTACCAGCTGCCAGCTTGACAACAATGTTTTTCTTCGGTTTTTAACTACTTACGGCTTTTTTTTTTAGAAAAATAAATAAATTTGTTTGTTTCTTTATATATATATATGTATATAT